CCATATACACAGATGACATGTAAAGGTATAAAGCTACGTGTATACTTGATCAGTTTTACAAAATCATGCAATTTGTTTTTCAAAGTGGCAGTATCAATAGATATGTTCATTATCAGTGTAACAGAATTCCTCTTGCTCTGTATCTTCAAGACTAGCAATATCTGAACTTTCACAATATTTTCCCATTTAATGAATGTGAAATGGTATCTCATTGCATTTTCTGTTTACTAATTGTGGGTTTGAACAGTTTTCCTCATGTTCATGTCTTCTTATTTTTCATTTTTAAGAGTTCTACATATAATCTGATGCTGTTTTTGGTGATATGAGTATTCCATATGCTAATTCCTCTGCTTTATTAGTGATATCTCCTAATTAGAGTTGTTATTTATACACTCAAATTTACTCAATACTGCAAATTTTATAGGTAGTGCATTTCCTTATTTTTAATAATTTTCCTACTCTGAAGTTTTAAGATCTCTTAGAATATTTAAAATTTTGATTTTTACAATTCAACTTTTATTCTATACAGAATTGATTTTTAATTAGCAAATTTATTCTTATACAACCAAATATTACAATCTATAAAATATTCCATATTTTGGACACAGACCTGCAATGTTAATAATGTCATTTATCAAGTTTCCATAATCACATAGGTTTCTTTCTAACTATTTGCTTCTTGTGACCAATTTGTCCATGCTGTGCCAGTGTTATACTATTATCTTAATTTTATTTAATAACTAAGCTTATCCATCCATCAAACCAGTCCCCTCCAACTTTATTCTTCTTTGGGATAGTAGTCTTGGATCTTTTTTTCTTCCATATATATACAATTTTGGAATCATTTCATCATCTCCCAAATAACCTAGCTGGGATTCTGACTGGGACTGCATTCCACCTATAGATCAAGTTAGATGAAATGTCATCTTCATAAAATCTTTCCATTTATTTGTAAATGCTTTGTAATTCACTTAAAAAATTCTTTTTTCTCAAAAAATCTTCACTATTTTTGTTTAGATTTATTCCCAAGTACCTTAAATTTTCTGTTGCAATTATATGGCATTTAAAATAATTTATATTTTCTGCTTCCAGTTACGATGAAAGTTGTATTAAAAACTAAAGATATCAGTTGTGGTAGAATGCTTGCCTAGCAAGTACCTTATCAATCAATAAATTCATCATTGGTATCAGAGAACCATCAGCATAGCCAGGGCTTAAAGAGCCACATTCTTGCAAAGAAGGGAAGTCTACTAGTAAGACCCACATTTACCTCTGCTTTTGTCTCTGGAATACGTGCTGATTCCACAATGTGGAAAAAGGCTGAGTGGCAGCATTCTTCTGAAGCTTGAGACAGTGTCACCAGTGTTGGAGTGTTAGAGTTTGGGACTACCAAGAAAGCCAATGTTAAAAAGTCCAAGAATCTGAAGAGGAGAAACCTGCAGAAATTTCCCCTTTGGATATCTATCTACTGCCTCCTAAACAATGCCTGTACTGGGTTATGTGTCAGTAAACCAAACATAAAATAACAGCTGAAATGCAGAGAAGGAACTTTGGAAGCCTTGTGATGCTGGTGAAATAGGTTAAAGTTTAAGACCCACCTGAAAAGACAGGGTGAATACTCAGCAGATGCCCTAGAGGGGCAAAGACTAGAAATAAAGGCAAACTAGAATAAAGGAGTTCTTAAAAAAAACTTAAAAAGTAGCTACAACAAGATCAAGGTGACCAGCTTGCAAAAACAAACTTAAATCTTTTTGAAAGACAACAAAGCAGCTGAACAGACTTCCCCTTATATGTAAACTCTCAATTCTAATTATGAGAAGAAGCCTGATAACCTATAAAATCATACCTTCTTAAATTGACCAAAGTTTAGAATAAAAAACATAAATAAACTAATAGCAAAGAAATGATAAGGATACAATGACCCAGCACTATTTTCAGCATCAATACAACAGTGGCCAGAGAAAGCTGTCTACAAAAGGGTAAAGAGAACTGGCTGAAATTTTTATACATTTTTAAAAAAACAGGTGAAGCCTGATATGGCAGTTTAGAATTCCAAGGAATCACAACTAAAAAGCCTGCATTTATTCACTCACGTTCTCCTACATGTATTCACTGAGTGCTTACGTGAAAAATTAGGGATAGGCAAGAAGCAGAGCTGAAAGACTCCCTAAGATACAGATGTAAAGCACTTGCAAAGTCTTAGGGTGGAAGAGAATTGAGCATAACCCGTCTGAAGCACTCCAGGTCCTCATGGAGAAGACGGCAGCAGCCCACTACAGACCAGAGACATTGACTGAGAGTGAGTCCCTCAATACTGTTCCATCTGTGCTCTCAATAACTGGTGTAGCTGAATACACCTACTGAAGACTGAAAGCAGAACAGTTAACTGAAATCCTGAGCCACTCTGGGTACTAAGCCAGGATCAGACCAGAAGTGAAAGAAAAATCAACCCTTAGCAACACAGGGAGTTGGCAGGCTATAAAGCACAAAGAATTCCGTAATCCCAGGGCTCAGATCCCCAGGCCTGCTGAAGGAAAAGTCCTGAGACCACTGCCCTCAAATCACACAAAACCATTGGTGAACCAATACTAAAATGCTTGTTGAATGAACAGATAATAAATAACATTACTTTCATGCTTAAAAACTTTGATGACCCCCCTCTATTCCTATATATTAAGGCTTTTATAACTACCTTTTCGGCCGCATCTCATCATAGTACCTTCTCTCTGCAAGTATTCCTAAAATTTACAATTGTTTCTGTGCTCATACTGTTCCCACACATTTGAGTATAAAATAAAATCTCTTCAGTCATTCTTTTCTAAATTTGCCCCAGCAAACTGCTCCTTTTCTGTGTTTCCAACATCATTTTGTTCAGACAGTTCTGCTATTATGCCATAAATATTTATGTATTCCTGAAAAACCTCACACTCTTTAAAACTGTGTATTGAAAAGAATAGGACTTAGGAAAAAAGAATTGAGGTCCACCACTCAAAACTTATGCAACTTTGTCACAAAGCACTAACAAAAACAAATCTTAATAAAAATACTAGGACAGTTTTAAAAACATGGTCTAATAGATAAATATTGAATAAAACACTTTACCTTAAAAAAGTGATGGTGACTTAATGGAAGAGGATAGAATGCAGAAGGATTGGGGCTGTCAAGTTATAGAGGCAAGGACAAAATGCTACCCCCCAATCCCCACAATGGGGAATAACCACAAAATAAGTGCTTCTAACACTGACCATACAGCCACACCAAGTTAAGAGAAAGCCAGAGGAGATGGACATTGACAGGGGCTTCATTAGGCTGTTTTACATGCAATTTACTTTGGCTGCTATTATAACAATGAAATTTCCCAATTGTTTTGTCAACTCTGCCCGATTTACCAATCACAAAAGAACTAATT